GAAATGAGTGCCATATTCGTAATGAGCATCCCCAAATACCTCGAAAAGGATACCCATATAGCATATTTTGAAAAATCGTGTCCGCCATCTTGGATTTACAAATAAGTGCTATATTCGTTTTTCATCGACAAAACCGAGCATATCTGTAGGCACCTGATCGACAATGTCGGGCAAATCTGTAGGCACCTTTAACTTAATGATGAGTTAAGCAAGATACAATTTCCCCACTTTTGAGGGAAATGTTATTCCATGGCATCATTATTTGTATATTTGTGTGCGTGCCGACGAGCGTAGTTACAAGTTGCTTACGCCTACATGAATTTGGTTTTTGCCTCACTTGTGACAGTTCGTTTGATATGAAACTATCATTCTATGCGTTATTATTCTAAGGCCGCCACAAAGAGGATAGGCAATTTGAGGCGGCGTGCTTGGATTGACTCGGGATTCCTTAAAACGGGCCGATACGGGTATTTTAGTTCGAGATTCGTATAATTTCGCGTTTTAATCGTCGATTAAGGCACAATAGCACTATCCTATTCCACTTTAAACTAGATTTCACAAAATAATTGAAAGTCAAAATAAAAACGACACTTTTCCCTCCAAAAGGTCCAGAGCAAATCCTCACTAAGCTTTATTACTAAAAAACGTCTCATGTTGTACATTACAAAAAAGTTTGCGGAAATTGTATTTTTTTTAATAATAAAACAAAAAATTGAAACTAGAAATTATAATGATATTATGACGTAGTGACATTACCAACATTTTTGACTTCGTTGATTTCTTTTCCTCGAAAAGTGTGAGCGGATGATTCTAAAAATCTTCTAAATCTTGCAAGCAAAGTTGCTCAATACATATATATGTTATAATGATTATAATGTATATATTATACAATAAATAATACGTAAACATAATATTCGCATAAAAACTCCGTAAATTACACGAAAAATGCTGATCGACGAAATATGACTTTCAATTGTCATTACTTAATTTTGTCATATTAAAAAAAACTAATGACCGCCATACGAGTTAGCTAACGATGCATTTTACAACCATTACGCATTGCAATTATAGTGCTCAAATTCGTGTTTTACCAAGCAAAACGAACGCTTGGGTCGTTGTCGGAAATCCCAGATAAGGTTTAGTACGTCATTTAGTAAAATGTTTTGAGAAAACTTTGTTAGTCAGTAAATAATAGTCGTTTTGTTTTGTAACATTTCATTGTTTTTCATATTCTGGGCAAGGGTTTCTCATATTTGCAAACTACACAACGAAACTTAAGAATGTGAAAATAAAACAAATACAGAAAAGAGCAACATTTCACGACATTCGACATTTAAAACGAAGAATTAAAGAATACCATACTCAAAGATTGAGTGTTAATATATAAATCTCTTCAGATAATGAAATAACATTTCCATTGAAATTTAAATGTCAACGATTTTTATTTTCGTAATACCTACGCTCCGAAGAGATGATGTAATAAAATTTCAACGAAAATGGTAACACTTTTAAAAAAGTACCGACGTTTATTCAGGTCACCTAAAGTTAATAACTGTGCAAAAAATGTTACTTGCACTTTTTGTGTAATAATTTTATTAAGTTGAATTAAAAATGGGTGTCAATTTTGAATTGATTTTAAAATTTTCTCAATGTTTCTGGATTTGTAACGGTGTATTATAAAATGACAAACAAATCTGGATTTTATATTCTGCACGTAATAATACGGATTTAAGTTGCAATATCTACATCGATGTAAGTTATATGTTTTGGTACCTTTATGTTTTTACCATAATAATGATGCATCGTTATAA